GATTAGAAGCCTAACATGTACTCCATATCCTGAAAAATGTTTTATGTACACTTGAGAATAATATGTGTACTGTTGTTGTTGGGTAGTAGTGTTTTTTAAATCCTCTATTTCCTTACTTATCTTCTCTGTGGTTGTTCAGTACATTATTGTGAGTAGGGTATTAGAGTTTCCAACTATTATTATAGAACTCTCTATTCTCCCTTCAACTCTGTCAGTTTTTGCTTCATATATTTTGATTGTCGTTAGTTGTATAAGTGTGTATAAGTGTTATATCTTCTTGCTGTGTTGAACCTTTTATTAATATACTAGAGGCTTGATGCACGAAATTCGTGCAGGGGCTCAGTCCTCACAGTCACGGCAGCTTGCCTCGGCCCTCGCAGCCCCAGCTTCATCCGGAAGGTCATCTAGAAGGTCGTTCGGCTGTCTGGTCTAATTAGCATATTACGCTTTTATTATTATAGATAATGTCATTTGTTGTCTCTTTGAACCATTTTTCATTTAAAGTTTATTTTGTCTGATATTAGTATAGCCTGCTGTCTTTTGGTTACTATTTACATCTAATATCTTTTTCTATCCTTTCACTTTCAACCCGTTTGTCTTTGTATCGCAACTGAGTCTCTTGTAAGACAGCATATAGTTGGATCATGTGTGTTTAACCATTCTACCAATCTCTGTATTTTAATTGTAGAGTTTAACCCATTTACATTTAAAGTACCTATAGCAAGTCCTTGAATAACATAATTGTGTTCAGTGTCGTTTTGTTATAACATTGATGAGATGCCATAGGAACTTAACTCTTGTTTATATTAATTAGCCTATGGTAAAATTGGTTTTGTTACACATTGTTTCACTTAAAGTCACAGAACCTATTGATGACATTAAGTGAGAACTTACTGTATTGTTAAGGAGGTACTTCTGTTAATGTGTTATTTGTTTTCTATATGCTTTATAGCTTTTTTGTCCCTTATTGCCTGAATTACTGTCTTGTATATAGTAGTTGATTTTTTTGTGGTGAAATGTTTAAATTCCTTTCTCATTTACCTTTGAGTATATTCTGTAGCTATTGTCTTTGTGGCTACACTGAGGATTACATTTAACATCCTAATGTTATAATATTCTAATATGAAATTATACCAGCTTAACTTCTGTAATATGCAGAACTCTACCCCTTTTACAGTTCTGTCCTCACCCCCTTTTCATTGCTAATGTTACAGAATTACATCTTTATGTGTTGTGTGCCCCAATACATAAACTAATAATTCATGTAATGCATTAGTCTCTTAAATTATGTAGAAAACAAAAAGTGCAGTTACAAACCACTGTTACAGTAACACTTGCTTTTAAAAAATATATATTTTTATTGATTTCAGAGAGAGGAAGGGAGAGGGAGAGATAGAAACATCAATGATGAGAGAAAATCACTGATTGGCTGCCTTCTGCATGCCCCCTACTGGGGATCAAGCCTGCAACCCAGGTTTATCCTGACGGGGAATTGAACCTTGAACTCCTGGTTCCTGGATTGATGCTCAATCACTGAGCCACACTGGCCAGGCCCCAAATAATCTTTGTTAAATGATTTGGCCTAGTATAAATTACTTTATGTTTGAAATTTTTTTCAATATAGATTTTAAATAACTTGTGGCTCACATTTTTATGATGCAGGCTTGACTTTTCCTTAGATTAATTAGGGAGAAGAAAGTTGAATAGTTTATTATAGATGATGATTATAACTACATTCTCTTTTCACAGAAATAATCATATGCTTAAAGTTAGAAACCTATATGTTCTTAACCATAATTTATAATTTTTTTACAGATTTGTGGGGCCACTGGGTACCATCATCATAAAGTGTAAAGATTTTCGAATAATTCAGTTGGATATTCCTGGAATGGAGGAATGTTTGAATATAGCCAGTTCCATTGAGGTAAGTATTTTGGAAGCAAAATGTGTTGAAACTAAAAAGTAATTTAAAAAGCCTTATATTCTGACTCATTGTAGCTCTTAAGTTTCTTCATTAAATATTTGGTCATGTTCTATAACTCAAATATTGAAAACTGATAGGAAAAGCGTCACCCTGATTCATTGTTATAGGAATGTAATAGGATTTTAGGGTTATTCTTCCAGGTTCATCCATATTTATCATGTGACAATTTCCTTACCTTTTAAGGCTGAGTAATATTCCATTGTATGTATATGTATATGTATATGTATATGTATATGTATATGTATATGTATACATATATGTATATGTATATGGTGAGACTTTAAAAAAAAGTTAATTCTTTTATAAAGGAAGTACTTATCACTGATGATTATTATCTCTTGTTTGTTTTTAGTAAATCTGAATTTCCATATATCAGATTTGCTTAAGATAGGATGTGTTTGTTTTCTATTTGTTTAAATAATATTGAATATCTGTTCAGATTATAAATAATAGAAATTTTACTTGGATAATTTAATATTTAAATTGAAGAGCTCACACTATATCCTTCCCCATTCTAACCAACTATATTGATATGCACTTAAATTTTAAATTGTCTTATTTTAAATCACTGCTGCTAAATTGTAGCAATTAACTTTATGTTTATAATATTTTCTTGATAACTATAGAGACATGCTGATTTTTGTTCTGTCTTTAAGTGACTAATCTGAGCTTTGTGTCCGAAACAAATGTTATTGCTTTAACTATTACAAGGGGGCAGAAAGACTTAAAAATCTGTAACTAGGATTTTGTTTTTTTAAACATGAAGAGAAAAATAAAGGAACAACTGTTGTGGTACTGCAAAAATTGGTATGCAACATTTTTCTGAGTTTGCTAAATTTTACTTAAGGAAATGAGAAGATGAGCCAAACTGTCTTACATAGCTGTCATTTGGAAGTAACACAGTAATGTTGATTTGGCTGAATTCACTAACATGAGTAAGAAATGCCAATGGCTTCTAGGCTGTTAAATTGAAATACAGTCCTGTTATTTGAGCAGGAGAATGCTGCTGACCCACTGCAGTTAAGCATGTGGTTTTTGGGTTGTGGTTTTTTGTTTGTTTGTTTTTTCAGTTGTGGGGTTGGGTTTTCATTGACCTGTCTACATTTTTCTTATCTCTTTTCTAACTTGTAAGATAGCTGATTGGTGGGTGTTAGTGAAGTGGCCCATGGTGAAGCATAGTGGTGAAGAAATAGGGCAAGGCTTATTATTCCTCTTTCTGATTGCATTTATTTAGCTAAGTAATGCTAACCAGTTTTTTAGTTAGCTGTAGATGTTACCGAATGCTCTGTAGAAAATGACTGATTATATGGAAGTCGTTATGGCTGAAAAGAAGCCATACATTATGAGCCATTCTCATAATTTGATGTCAGAATGAGAATCCTCTTCTCTTTCTTTTTTTACAGTTTAGTAAATACACATAGTGAACTTGGCCTCTAGCCTTTTACTGTCTTCCAATTCCCTCCCCCAAATACATTTTGACATAATTTGGGAGTAATAAGTGAAATTCTTATATAGCATAGTTGAGCTATTCTTTGTGATCACGAGTCCATATACTCAAATATATTCTGTTGTCACAAATAGAATCCCATTGGAAGGATAACTGGCAAATGCTCAGTTTTCTAAATTATAGCAGGAAGTCTGATGAAGCTGTTTTCTGTGTACTTTCAACTACTTTGGGGGTTGAAATGTTTTTAGTTCTTTCAGCATTAATATGTTTAAAGGAAAAGTCCTATCTCTAGTGACATAAAATATAATCACAAGTGCTTATTGCCTGCCAGAGTGGTGCCGTCTTACTTGCATTTAAAATAATGATTGTACCAGCCAGAATGGAAAATAATATGGAGGCTCCTCAAGAAATTAAAAATAGAACTATCATATGATCCAGCAGTTCCACTCCTGGGTATGTACCTAAGGATACAAAATCATTATCTTGGAGAGATATCTGTACTCCCGTGTTCATAGCAGCATTATTCATAATAGCCAAGGTATGGAAACAACCTAAGTGTTGATGGATGGATGGATGGATAAAGGAGAGAGAGAGAGAGAGAATTAGAAAGAGAAATTATTCAGCCTAAAAAAAGAAAGTAATCCTGAGTATTAGAGAGAGAGAGAGAGAGAGAATTAGAGAAATTATTCAGCCTAAAAAAAGAAAGTAATCCTGCCATTTGCGACAGCATGGATGAAACTGGAGGGTATTATGCTGAGTGAAATAAGCCAGACAGAGAAAGACAAGTACTGCATTGTATCACTTATATATGTGATCTTAAAAAGGAAAGCCAAAATCATAGAAATAGAGAATAGAAAGTGGTTTCAGCTATAAGATGAATAAAGCTTGTGGGTCTAGTGTATAACATGGTGACTATTTTTCAAAACACTGTATTGTTTGAATGAAATTTGCTGAAAGAGTCAAACTTAAATGTTCTCAAAAACAACAGCAAAAGGTGATGTGAGGTGATAGTGTGTCAACTCAATGGGGGGGAGGAATCCCTTCACTATGTGTATGTATTATATAGTGCACTTTAAATATTTTACAGTTTTATTTATCAATTGTATTTCAGTAAAGCTGAAATTTTTTCTAAATGTTGCAAAGAATATCTTAAAAATAAACAAATGAATAAAATAATGTTTGAACTGACTAATAATAGCCCTGGCCTATATCAGATATGGATACTGGCTTTTCTGCTTCTGTTTAGTGTGACTGGCAGCCAAAGACATGTAGAAGTAGGTAATGGATTAGTGAGCCATGCTTCTCCATAGTTTCTGTTTTATGAGCTTTGGAGGAAGGCTTCATGATCTATGGACAGAAAGAAGAATAACTTTGGATGGGGATGTTTTTGCTGAATGACATGTTCAGTCTATTTTTTTAATAAGTCGTGTGCCCATCCTTTTGTGTTTGGTCTTTCTATGACCTAGAAGGAGGTAGCTTCATTCTGAGAGTTTTGGGGTATTAGCATGATGTTAGGCCCTCTAACCTCCAGGTGTGGGACATGTTCAGTCTATTTTTTTAATAAGTCGTGTACCCATCCTTTTGTGTTTGATCTTTCTATGACCTAGAGAAGGAGGTAGCTTCATTCTGAGAGTTTTTGGGGTGTTAGCATGATGTTAGGCCCTCTAACCTCCAGGTGTGGGTCTCTATAATTACTGCAGTTTGAATTATGTTCATTGATTTTGGTGCTTTTTTGTTCCACCATAGAAATTCTTTCCATAATTACCCTCTCTGAAGGATGAAACTGCCACTCAATGGAGGATGTTCTGTCTGTCCATTGCTTCTGTCCAGTCAAACTTTCTGGGGTTGCCACCCAGAATTCAAGTGCTGCAGATGATTATAGGCTCACTGTGGGACTGTGGAGTTATTGTCCTGGCTTGAAAATGGGTCAGTGTAGCATAAAGATATGCTGATACCTGACCAAATGGCATATCACTCTAGGTAGGGAATGAACATTGATGGGGCATATGTGGAGTATATAATATGTGGACCATGTAATAGCTAAGATTATTTTAGAGTTTATTATGTGCCAGGCACTGCTTTAGGCCCACACACTCTCTCTCTGAATGCCTGTAACAGCCTTATGAGGTAGATACTGTTATTTCCCCAATTTTACAGCTGAGGAAATTGAGGCATGGAGCAGTTACATAACTTAATTACTATTGCACTGGGGTTTGGAAATTGAGTCCAGCAGTCTGACTCCAGTCTGACTCTTTGGCTGCTAAGCTCTGTCACCCTATTTTACAGTTATCACTGATGCTGATTTTATTTTATTTTTTATTTTTGTAAAAGATATTTTTATTTCAGAGAGGAAGGGAGAGGGAGAGAGATAGAAACTTCAATGATGAGAGAGAATCATTGATTAGCTGCCTCCTGTACGTCCCTCACTGGGGATGGAGCCCGCAACCTGACTGGGAATCGAACCGTGACCTTCTGGTTCATAGATCTACGCTCAATCACTGAAACATGCCAGCTGGGCACAGATGCTGATTTTAAATTATTTTAAAATGTTTTATTTTATATATAATTTAAAACTAGTTTATATAGTTGATAAACTAGATTTTGAGCCAAGGCTTTACTGACTACCAAAACCTGTTTGTTCTCTGATCCCCAAAAAGTATTTAAACTGTTTTATTAGGCTTTATTAAATGATGTCAAAGTTATTTCATTTTTCTTCTAGACTAGGCTTGCGCATTTTAAAATTCTGTTCATTCAGCAAATGCTAATTGAGTATATGTTATGTGTCAGATACCTTATTAGATTCCAGAAACACGGAAATTAGCTTCAGTAAGCTAAAATTGTATCTAGTGATAAATATAATGTTAGACAAATATGCCCATCATTAGTAGGTCATATTTGTTTAATACCAATTTGGCAGTCAGAAAGTGTTTCAAATTGTGGTATGTTCCTTTTTCCTTTCTTTATTTCCTTTTTACCCCCTAGGCATTATCTACCCTGGACTCCATCACTCTGATGTACCCTTTCTTTTACCGGCCCATGTTTGAAGTGATAGAAGATGGCTGGCATTCTTTCCTTCCTGAGCAAGAATTTGAGCTCTACTCTTCAGCTGTGAGTAACTTTTGAGAAAACTATGGATAATAGTTGAGAAATAACACAACACCTTACTTTACTTCCTTTTGATGAGTGATAAGGTACATTTGACTTACTCATGCCTTTTCTCATAACACTGAACTCAGCATCACACCTTGTCCTGGTTTCTCCTTTTTAATTTCTTTAAAAATATGTTTTTATTGATTTTTTTAGAGAGAGAGAGGAAGGGAGAGGGAAAGAGAAACATCTATGAGAGAGAACCATCAACCGGCTGCCTCCTGCATGCCCCTACTGGGGATAGAGCCTACATGTGCCCTGACCAGGAATAGAACTTTTTGGTGCATGGGACAACACTCAACCAACTGAGTAACACCAACCAGAGCTTTCTCCTTTTTTATTTTTTAAATATATTTTTATTGATTTCAGAGAGGAAGGGAGAAGAAGAGAGAGATAGAAACATCAATGATGTGAGAGAATCATCGATTGGCTGCCTCCTGCATGCCCCCCACTGGGGATTGAGCCCACAACCCCGGGCATGTGCCCTTGACTGGAATTGAAGTTGGGACCCTTCAGTCCACAGGCTGATGCTCTATCCACTGAGCCAAACCAGCTAGGGCTCTTCTTTTTAAAATAATAGAAAGGAACAAGGGATTTGAAGTAAGTAGTAGCTCTATTCTCTTCTGTTCTGGTTCAGCATTATATGAAGTATTACGGTCTTTCTGTTGCTATACTTTAAGAGGATGAATGAGATGATGTTGGCCCTGATAGTCATGGATATACTTAATATATTTAACTTGGAGAATAGAAGACGAAGGGAGAAACAACTGTCTCTCACACGTTTGATGAGATGTCATGTAAGATAGGGAACTTGTACTGAAATCATGGTAAAAACCAATAGAGGAAGTTGTAGAGCAACAAATGTTGCTAAATATGAGGAAGAACTTTCTAGGAACTGGGGATACATAGCATTGCAGAAAGCTGACTAAAGAATGGAGCTTGTTTTCTCTGAAAGTATCTAAGTATTGATAGATATCCTTCTATTAAATTTCTGAGATGGCTTCTTCACTGTATGAAAATTGATCTCTAAGGTCCTTTAAATTTTTTCAGATTATTTTGTGACACTGAGATACTAGCTCTGAAATATTATGTGTTTTTCAGACCAGTGACTGGAGGTTAAGCTATGTTAATAAGGAATTTGCGGTCTGCCCCTCTTACCCGCCAATTGTCATAGTACCCAAATCCATTGATGATGAAGCTCTTCGGAAGGTGGCTACATTTCGACATGGAGGACGCTTCCCAGTACTCAGCTATTATCATAAAAAAAATGGAATGGTAAGTGTACAGTACTGCTGCTTAGTCTACTGAAAGACTTGGTTTGAGGATTTTTTCTTAGAAATGTGTTCCCTTCTCTGTGTACCTGTCCATTGAGTGGTTAGTCACTCCTGCTAGGACTTCCTTCATTTAAAATTCAGGGAATTGGGAGTAGAGTATTTTCTGTGATCAGTTTATGACTTTGAATTCTTTCTGTGATGCTGCTCAACCTTAGAAAAGCCCAGCTAGGTTTATCCTCAGGACTCAATACAAAGGGAACTAATAATGTTCATGTGCTATTTAAATTAATGTTCTCAGGCAGAAAAGTAAATTTCTCTGATCAGAATAATGGTAAGATACTGGTAAATTGAGCAGAAGTTTTTATTTTCAAAAGGGAGAAGAGTGGCACATGTCATTAGTCACAGTAAGTAAACATGGGCATCAGGAATTGAATAGGCAAGTGCTTGCTGTGTATTTGTTTCCTAGATATTTTCTAAATCTGTTTCTGTCCTCTACTTTCTCTCAGTCAATGAACTGCTTCATTTTGAGACCAATAGTAAATTGGTGGATAAATCATTACCACCTATTTTTCTTTTCCCCTGGTATTAAGTCAAACATGGATATTTAGGATAAAAAGATTTCTAAAAATCTGCTATTTTTGCATCAGGCCATTTATTCTGCTTGCTTAATAGTATATCTGTTTTTACTAGGGTTCATTACAAAGTATTTTAATAATTGATGTTAAATATATTGAGTATCCATTTACATGGTGAGTGCCATCTGAGAGTAGCTATTGTCATCCTGTGAATGACCTTTCTTGATCATGTTAAATTTCAGGGTAGTTAAGATAACAATGTATACAATGGGGTGAAGTTGAAATAACTCTAAGCCATTCACCAGGAAGAGATCAGTGTAACAGTTATTGATTTCTTGAGAAAAGTTTCAAAAGCAAACCTTCAAAATATATAGTTCATAATATTTGGAGACAAGTGGTTAAGTCCTGGAATCCTGAAAAGGATGGAAGAGGGCCACTGGAGGATAAGTAATACCAAGCAGCTTTCAAGATATTGAAGATGATTCCCAAAACAAGAATAATGAGTAAACTTTTTTTATTTTGCCATTGGTGCCTTTTTCTTTATAATTCTTGCCAACCCTAAGTTTAGGTAGTTGAAGCAAAAGTTTACTGGTGCATAGGCCATTATTATTATCTTCATTACAGGGCTAGATCAACTGGATAATTACTCACTGACTAAATGTATTATAATAGCTCATCTTTAAAAGGAACTAAAATATTATGTGAAAGTATTTTGAGATAGTGGGAAGAAAAATCATTTGAAAGTGCAAGGCTTATTTTTGTTTTACAGTTATTAACTTTGTCAATAAATAGAAATGTATCTTCGTTTTAGGGTCAGATCCATCCCACTTGTTTTTGAAGTACTCTTAATCTAGCTAATTTACTTCTGTTTTCAAAAACTTTAAATGCAGCTACTATTAAATTTTTTTGTGTTTGAGAGAGAAAAGGGGAGAGAGAGAGAAAAAACATTGACTTCTTGTCTGCTTATTTATGCATTCATTGGTTGATTCTTGTATGTGCCCTGACTGGGGATGGAACCTGTGACCTTGTTGTAGCAGGATGATGCTCTAACCAACTTAGCTACCCAGCTAGGGCTTAAGTTTTAAATTTTATTGTGATTCTAGGTAATTATGCGAAGTGGTCAGCCACTGACTGGCACAAATGGGAGACGGTGCAAAGAAGATGAGAAGCTGATCAATGCTACCCTCAGAGCAGGAAAGCGTGGCTACATCATTGATACTCGATCTCTAAATGTAGCTCAGCAAGCTAGAGCCAAAGGAGGCGGCTTTGAGCAAGAAGCTCATTATCCCCAGTGGAGGCGGATTCATAAGTCCATTGAGAGGTAAAAGATTCTGGAGACAGTGATGGGCTCTTATTTGAAGCTAATTAGAGTGGGTGAACCTTTAGCTGTTCAAAAATCACAAGTTTTCAAATGAATCTAAACATTAACTTAGAGTCCAAAATTGGCTATCCTGTCGTCGTGTTTTGTAAGATGAACAGAAAACTTACCTTGGATGCTCACAGGTGAGTTTTAGTCAGATAGCACTGTTTCTTCAAGTCAGCTCTGAAATTTCATCCCCACAAGGTCTGCTCCTCTACTTATAGATCAGTGGTCACCAAACTTATCCAGATAGGCTATGGATAACTATATTTTCCTAGTCAAAGACTTTAGACATTTAATTTCCCCCATACCCACCGATTTTCATACCCTGTTTCCTCTCCCTCTCTTGTTTATGCTTGCAATTAGTGGTTTATAGTAGGTACTTTGGGTAGGTGGGTGGGAGTCGGAGCTGGCTTTGGGCACCCCTGCTGATAGTACCAGCTAGACCCTTTGGAGTAGGATTGCAGATGACAGTGGTACTATCTCTGACCTGTCTCAAAATGCAGTGCTCTGGCTCTCTCCCCAATCAGATAATTCAGCTCTTCAACTGGTATTTAATCTATTCAGATGAGGAACAATTACCTTGACAGACATTTTAAGCATCTTTGCAATCATGTTGAAATATTAACTTTTCATTATTTAATCCTTAGGTTATTGTATAGCAAGGTAAATATGTTATAATATTTTGAGCTACTTTTGCTCTTGGATTGATTGGAGGCTGAGTTTTTGGTTTGGTTTCTTCCTTCATTGTTTTTGTTTTGTTTTGTTTTTCTTTTCCTCATATTTGAAAGGTATCACATTCTTCAGGAGAGCTTAGTCAAACTTGTGGAAGCTTGTAATGACCAAACACATAACATGGACCGATGGCTTAGTAAATTGGAGTCTTCCAACTGGCTGACTCATATCAAAGAGATTCTGACAACTGCCTGTCTAGTGGCTCAGTGTATCGACAGGTAAAGTACATTTCAGTGCTCCAGAATGGGACATGCACTGCTAACTAGACTTTGCTTTTATCCAGACATATGTTTATATATTAACATATGCCTCGGAGATATTGTGGGTTTGGTTCCAGACCACTGCAATAAATCGAATACTATCTCAATAAAGCAAGTCACACAAATTTTTGGTGTTCCAATGCATTTAAAAGTTATGTTTAACTATACTGTAGTCTTTTAAGTGTGTAATAGTATTCTTAAAAAAAAAAGTGTCTACCTTAATTAGAAAATACTTTATTCTAAAAAAACTAACCATCATCTGAGACTTCAGTGAGTTGTGATCTTTATGCTGGTAGAGGGTCTTACCTTCAATTTGTAAAAAATGCAATATCTGCAAAGTGCAATAAAGTGAAGCTCAATAAAGTTTGGGCCTATTCTATAGCTTATGTTCAGATCATTTTATAAATTACTATAAGATAGTCAATGGCATTCAGTTATCGATGATGTATGTGCATAGAGTTTGTCATTTAATTGATAATTAATGTTTGTTGAATGAATTGTGAACCATGTACATATATGTCTTTGATGACACAAGTTTTTTTTAAGTACCAAAGACCTAATTTTTTTCTATACAGTCCTTAAATTACTAATCAACCAATTTTCCTTTTCTGAAACTGTGAGAAGTTTTTCTATGTCTTCTCTGAGGGCCAAACTTGCCTTCTTACAATGAAAGGAAGCATATGATTTTGTTACACAGTAAAATAATCCTTTCTAATCTCAGATATCTTATTACAAACTACTCGATGTGTGCAGTTATATCAGGATCTCAAAGTTGAGAAAACCTGATGGTAGTGATGTGAAGTATATGAAGTGATTTTAGTTTATTCACTCAGTTGAAGGTTGCTAATCCTTGAGACTTGAGGCAGAAGACTTGAACAGAGGCAGAAGGATGGTATAAGTTGTGGCAGAAGCTTAGCATGCCCTTTTTAAGAAGGGGATTCCCACTGAAACAATAGGTAGGTATAAGTATTGCCACCACATAGTTGGATGGCACTTTTCTTTGAGAATCTAATTTGTTTTATTGATGCTTCCAAATTAGGGAATGATATATGTAATTTTTTATGGTTAGTGAGAAATTGATCATAGGATGGATTGCTTAAAATCACGTGGTAAGTTAGTGACAGAACCAAGAATGGGCTTACAGTCAGGATTCCCAGGCTGTCACTGTTCTTTTATTTTAGACGAAGCTCATTTATCTAATAAAATATGGGAAGTGAATAATACAGAATGATGAGGTGCTACTATTAAGGGTTTTGTTTCTTTTTAGCCTAAGTTTAAAAGATTTCCCCTTACATGATAAATACAGAGGCTCCTGTTTTCTTATGAAACACGAATTGTAATAGACACTTATCACCATGTTGTCCAAGTTTTCAGCCATAATAATGAGATGATGCAGGTCTAGGTGCAGAACAATATTTGTTATCTCCACCTTCGTTTAGTTTGAGCTGCTGCCTTAAACAAACAAGAACCTCCACACTCCTGGGAAAGTTGAAGATTTTGGTTATTTTGCAATGTTTTGTTTCCCTTTTCTGATATATATTAGCTTGTTACTTGTACCTACATAAAAATCTGCCCTTATATTTAATTACTAAAAATGTAAAAATTGACCTTAAGTTAAATAAATTAAATTCAGAATATACCACAGATAACAAGATATATATTCAGTATATATCAGAAGCCTTAAAATATTTGCTCATATCTTTTTCAGGCTACTCATTAGATTTAATGCTACAAATGAGTTGTTAGCCTAGCCATAAGTGAACATCAGGGAGCTTATTTTCAAATTAAGAACTCAATTCAGCAAAAGGCAAAAAGCTAAGTGCATTATCTGCAGTGTAACAAAAATTGGCAGTAACCTTAATATCCAACCATAGGATTAAATAAATAATAGTTGTTCACTTAATACAATATTTAATAACCATTAATACAATACTTCTAAAGATGGCATAGATGCATGGGAAAATGTTTATAATAAAAGTGGAAATAATAATAAATTACTTTTCCTTGCAGCTATACAAAGTATATATGTACATGGGAAGACAATTAACAGTAATAATCAAACATGAAACTTTTATGAGAAAGTGGTGAATTTCTTTTCTTTTTTTGCCTAAAATTTTCTTCACTGTCATTTCAATATAAGACATGGAAGAAGGAGAGGGGAGATGTAGTTAATTTATTTTTTGATGTTTCGTCCCACACTCTTTAGAATATTGAGGTCCCAGAGACCTCCTAAGTGTCGTGGTATCATTGCCACTTCCTTTCTAGATTGATTGACAGTTTTATTTTTTTAAATGTTTTATTATTGTTTCTTCCTGTTTCATGTTTCTCAAAGTATAGTTCAAGACTTGTTTCCCATTATAATTGATGAAGGCGTCCTTACAGTCAGCTAGCTGATAGTGAGAAGGCAGAATCAAGGTCAGAGAGATACAGAAAAATAATTTTAAGTATGTTTCTAGGTTCAATGAGAAAAGCCTTTAATCGACTATTAAAGCAGACGAGGTAAGTGCCTACTGTGTGTGTTAAGGACTGCTTTTGTTTTTGTAAAGATAGAAAACTTTTAGCTAAAAAAAAAAATCTGTAAAATTTGTTACAGTTTGAAGGGGTTCTTGCCGTGTGAAATTTGGGACTCATACCATGTTGGGAGTATCCCATTTGTACTCTGAATTTTCCTATCAGGGAAGGAGCATCCATATTGATTCATGGAACAGAAGGCACTGATTCCACACTTCAGGTGACCTCCCTGGCCCAGATCATCTTGGAACCAAGAAGCAGGACCATCCGTGGTTTTGAGGCCCTGATAGAAAGAGAGTGGCTGCAGGTGAGAAAAGCTGTTTTGTGTGCAGTGGAACAGCTGATAATTGATGTCGTGATCCTGGTTTGTGGGATCGGATATAATGTATGACATTTTGATGGTTAGGGCCATTTTCTTTGTGTCTTGTTTCCTGAACTAGACCAAAACAAAGTGACTTCTTTGAGGTCAGGGACTTTGCACAGTTCATCTGTTTATCCTTAGTACAAAGCACTGCTGTCATATAAGGCTGTGGATGAAAACTGAAATAAAGGCCTCATAAACAGGAGGAAATCCTCCAAGGCAGAGGTTAATTCGTGAATGTACATACACTGTGTAACGTAGTAAACAATTGTAACTAAAAATATATGTTTAAATATATCTTGGAATGGAAGTATCTCTGGAGAAAATAATTTCTGGCCTTTCTAGTTACAATTTGGATTTATTATGCGTTAATGCTGTTACATGTACTCTGTCTACCCTGCCTGACAACTGACTATCTCTGTTTAACTCAGAACATCTTAAATATTTGGTAGAAATCTATTGGACTACATTCCTTATGTTACAGAGCAAATAAACAAATGAGTATGATATACTATATATTGGCATTTTAATGAGCATAAAATCCCATTAGCTACTGGAAAATGGTCATGGCATTATCTTAGTCACACATAAGGACCCAGAGATAAGAAATTCCTAGAAGGGTGTGATTTGGGAGAAGGGTGGTACTCAGGTTCTGGGTGGGCCAGAGCCAGTGATTCTTGAATTTCCTTTGGTCAGTAGATACCAGACTCTTCTAGTTCTTTTGGGGAAAAGAGGGACATTAAGGAGGGCTTTATCTCTCATATAAAGATATTCATAAAGATCTCTTCATGACAATAACTAACTTTTTTTCCATATGTAACTAACAACAATATCAGGAGTGACTTATAGAGTCTGTCTACAGAGCCCCATATTTATCTCCATTTAGTGGTGTGGCTTATGTAGTTTACAATAGTCTGCAATGCTTTGGGTAGATAGAAGGTGTTAACTGCCCTTTGTTTTGTACCTGAAAAGCTTATGTTCTTTGACTATGTTCCAAATTACACAGACAAAAAATTTATAAGTTTATCATTACTGAAGTTCATTATTCCATTTGGCATTCCAAGGACAGTTTGGGTTCTTATGGTTAAGTAGTTGGAAATTGTTTTAAACCAAGAAATCATTAATCTAAATAGCAGTCACCAAAACTATATGATGTTCCATTTAATAGGAGTTGCATTGCACCTGTGTGAAATAATTTTAATAGAATGTGACTCTCACTAGGGCCTGACTGTCTTTTCCCTCTTTCCTTATCATTTCCCTCTTTTCTTGTAGGCTGGTCACCCGTTCCAACAGCGCTGTGCACAGTCGGCCTATTGTAATAGTAAGCAGAAATGGGAGTCACCTGTATTTCTTCTCTTCTTGGATTGCGTGTGGCAGATACTTCGTCAGTTCCCTTGTTCTTTTGAATTTAATGAGAATTTCCTCATCATGCTCTTTGAGCACGCTTATGCCTCACAATTTGGAACGTTTCTGGGCAACAATGAAAGTGAAAGGTGGGTACCCTGCTCACATGGGGGCCATTTCATTTTATGTTGTTTTGGCCACTCCCTAAAAGAGTTGTTTCTGCATTAATGTTATTTATAAGATGGTAGAGATTACAGTTAGTATAAATTATGCGAAGTGTATGTATTCTTATTATGAGCCTATCCTACGACTTTGTTTCGTTAGATTAAAATTAGTCCATATACTGATTAAAAAGCTTTGAATAAATTGGGTAACTATTTTAAATTATAATTTCTTCACATAGAATTATAGTATTTTACATCTGCAAGAAGCCTTAACATATAACTGCACTCTCCATCCGGTTTTATAGATTTAGGAAGGTAATGTGCACATTAGTTAAATGACTTGTCCAGGGACACATAGCCAGCTGGTCAGCAAAAGTCAGGCTAGAGTACAGGTCTTCCTATTCCTGCTCTAGCCTTTCTCTGTTAAACCAGTGGGTGTAACTTTAATTCGGCATTTAAATAATGTGTTTGACTATGGATTCTTTTTGGTGTTGTACCTATTAATATCTCTCAGACATACATCCAATATAGGGTTCACAAATAGATATTATCTCACATTCTGATTCCCCTTTAATAGAGGAGGATTCTGAAGCTGTGTGGGGTGGGCTTAGCCTGAAAAAGTTCAGTGATTGGCTAGTCATGGGTTTGGGGCCAGGGGGCTGGAGGGAGCATTGGTGCAATGGTTCCTTATCCTCATCATGCCTGGTTCTTGGGGACGTAGTACGGGACTTGCTGTCCTAGCAATTAAATGCTAGTATTACATGGGGTCTGTGATTATGTGGATTATTACTAGCATAATTTCTAAAATGTGTCCATTTATTTTTCATCCCTAGCAATTTATTCTGCGATAAAGAGCATTACAGAATTTCAGGATTATTGTGAAGACTGTTCATTGTAAATGAATAGAGATTAAATCTATATTTATATCAAGATACATATTTATTTTTAATCTATTTAGATGTTTTGAGTTAAAATACAATTCCAGATACAATGTTCTGTATGACATGACCAGATACTGGTTTTTTCCTTCTTCTGGTTTTGTTGTTATTGAGAGTTACAGTGCTGAATTTTCTGACAGATATTTTTATTTTACAACATTTTATTCCGCTACTAAAAATCTTACATTCTACCTTCTAATATACAGAAAAGAAATTGTCCTATTAGGAGAAGCATTTTATAGTTGTTATAAATTAACTGCTCTAATGGCAATTTTTTTTTCTTGATCAGATGTAAGTTGAAGCTACAGCAGAAAACGATGTCGCTGTGGTCTTGGGTCAATCGGCCCAGTGAACTGAGTAAATTCACCAATCCTCTCTTTGAAGCCAACAACCTTGTCATCTGGCCTTCGGTTGCTCCACAGAGTCTTCAGCTCTGGGAGGGTAAGCCATGCATCCTTTGCAAACTTTCTATCATTAGTCAAGGATGAGCTTTTAGCTGCCTGTGAGGACATGCTGTTGTTGATATTTGAAGATGGTAAGGTGGACCTCACTCTCAGTCCTGTGTGTATTTTTTTCTCAATATTTTTTGAAGAGCCTTCATACTGTTTTCCATAATGGTTATACCTTTTTAAAATCCCTCCAACAGTGCACAGGGGTTTCAATTTTTTCACATCCTTGCCAAGAGTTGATACTTTCCTTTTGGGTTCCACACCCCACACCCTCACGCCCCAGTAGAATCCATCCTAATGGAAATGAGGGAAAGTAACTTTTTGTATAAGAAAAGTTGGTAGATAGGACAGGAATAAATTGTAAGCTCCTAGGAGATGGTTTCGGTTTCCTTTATTAAGCAGTCATTAGGGTAGGCTCTTCTGTTAAATGCTACTGAAGGGGGAATGAGCTAGCCATTCTAGTTAGGGTTTACACTGTACACATACCAGTGCCATCCATCAATGCATTGCTCATGTGGAACAATAATCCGTGCTTAATTTTCAAATCTATTCTAAAGGAGGTGTTTCACCTACATTAATTTTTCAGACTCCTAAAGCTTATCTTATTAAATACCAAAGCCTGTTTTTTTTTAAATAGCCAAAATTTATCTAAAATATATTAGCCATTCATTAAAGAAAGACTGAAGTATACCATTTAATTTATTTTGAATCATTTTTTGAAGCTTATCTTTATTCATCTTTGTAGTAAAACAGCATCAGGCATATACACAAGGATGGCAGCTGTTTGGTAAATTGAACTGAATTTTCATAAATGTTAGTTGTTCTACCGTGTCCTGATATGCTTTCAAGGACAATTCATGTGTGGAGAGCGGTTTGCCCTCTATATGTGTCAAAGGATCTCAGATTGCTTGGCTCTCTCAGCTTGAAATCAAGTCTTTTTCTGTTACTTCTCTGGACGTCCGCTCTCACATCTTGGTTGTTCTTAGCACATCTTCAAGAGCTGCCTTCTTCCTCCTCAGTTTGTGCTTCTAATCTTATCTGTCGGGGTGTCTCCTCGTCAGAATTGTGGGGAAATGGCCTCAGAATGTCTCGGGGTTCTCTAAGCCTGAGCGTTAGTGCTTTGGGAACTTGAGGCTGCTCAGAACTTCTCTTTGCTTACTCTCCTGATTGTTGTAGGTGGTCACCGGTGCAGGATAAGTGATCTCTCCAATGGGAGATTTCAGCTGTACTTCTTGTTTAAGACGTCTGGGACAGTTTACCTAAAGCCACTGTCATGCTTAATAACTGAAATGAGAGACTAGCTTACTTGGGAGAAAAACCAAATTTGGGAGTTGGATGACCTAAACTAGTTTTTCTGTGTTACATAAAATCTTCTCGTAGTAGGTATATGGAGTGTATAATGAGACTGCTCTTATTATCTCTCTCTGCTGTTTACATTTACATCATAGTTAACCATTAATATTAAGTATTCTTGTATTGAAGAACAGGATTTTAAAAATAGGCTCATATATGTGGAAAAATCAACACAGGTCAGTCAATCTTTAAGCTATGTTTCTCTACCTTTCTGATAGAGAGTAGCGTTTGAACATATATAGAAAGACTCTTGCCTGGCCAGTATGGCTCAGTGGTTGAGCATCAACCCATGAACCAGGAGATCACAGATCAATTTCTGATCAGGGCACATGCCCGGGTTGTGGGCTCAATCCCCAGTAGGGGGCATGCGGGAGGCAGTTAATCAATGATTCTCTCTCATCATTGATGCTTGTATCCCTCTCTCCCTCTCCCTTCCTGAAAATAATAAAAACATTTTTTAAAAAAAGAAAGACTCTTTAGGGCCCGTGGCAGTTTGGAGTTTCGTTTATGGAGTATATTTTAATGAACCATAAAACATTTGTAAACCTGTCAGCCACTGCCGTGTTGCCAACTTGGAAAGTTTTTGTTCGTCCTTACTTTGATATATTTAAGCCATTAATTTGAGATGATATAGTTAACATAGGTCTATGTAGAGGAGAGAAATGTCTCCTTTAGTCAACAATAAAATGATAATTTTTATTTGGGGAAAGAATCAATTGCCTGTATAATTGAAAGACTGCCTGTTTAGTAACAGAGAGAGAGAGAGAGAGAGAGAGAGAGAGCATAATTGAAAGACAGCTTGTTTAGTAACAGAGAGAGAGAGAGAGAGAGATGAAATTTAGGATTTAAATAACAAATTTGTGTGGTTCTGCTTTTACTGTAACTTATGTTTCCAGCAAAAGTGATTTCACACATGTAGAAGGTCTCACAGGTCTGAATAAAGTTCTGTAATTGTGGGGGGAAAGATTTCCGTTATGAAAATGGAAAGTTTATGCCATTTTAAATTATCAGCTTGTTTTCCTGAATATATTAGAGAACAGTACTTTGATCTATTTCATAATTTTGTGTGTGGGGGGGGTGAAAAATTGAGCATGTACATAGAAATAGTGATTTCTTGAATACTCTATTCAATTATGTTATTTTAGTAGCTTGAGTTCCTGTGTATTTTAGAGTATAATAAAACATAGATGTGAACTGTGAAAAAAAGAAAAAAATTAATACATGGAATTATATATTATCCACACCTTTAATGTTAATCCATTGTATGTATCTTTCTCCCTTCTGTTTTCCTTTCCTGGACTCAATAGGTATTTTCCTGCGTTGGAACAGATCCTCCAAGTATTTGGATGAAGCATATGAAGAAATGGTTAACATCATTGAATATAATAAGGAATTACAAGCAAAAGTAAATCTCCTTAGGAGGCAGTTGGCAGAACTGGAGACTAAGGATGGGATGCAGGAGAGTCCCTGAAAGGTGTCCCCACACCTGTGTAAAACCTTCCCACACCCGTATCCCACCTCTCTCTCCTTTTGATCTTTAGCTCACTTTTACATAGTAGCCTTGAACTTAAGGCTTTAGATATGAGAACCCTCTAATCTAATGGATTTCTCAATACTTTATGAATGCAATTTACTATAATTACACATGTTTCATGTGGCCTCTTAGGCCTTTTTACTTTGGGAGCAGGAAGGAGGTGCTAGTTGTTTTATTTTATTTTATGCGAACCAGGTGACCTATGTAATACCATTAGTGTTATGCACCATTTCATCATAAGCTTTCTGTGTCTACTTTCCAAACAGTGCTTCAGACCAGTCAAGGTTATGAATAATCTCTTTAGGGGATATGTTAATTTTAAAAAAAAGATTAGACGCTTAAACATTTTGAAAATATAAATATTTTTCAAAACTGAAATGGTAGATAAACCAAGAATGTTATGTTTAACATGCCATTTCCAATACCTTTGCCATTCTCTTTAAAATAGTTTTGGAGTAACAGAGATGAACTCAGTCTCACTCTGGTTTGTCAGGAGAGGAAATTCTGAATATTTATTCAAGGTAAATTATTTTTACAAGGGCAACAGGTATAGTCCTCTGCTATTTACCTTAAGAAGTAAATTTAACAGTAGACAGTAAAAGTATGTGCAATATAGAAATAAAGTAGGAATTTGTTACTGATATGGTATTGTTACTGTTGAATTGGTTTTTCAGGTTTTTATCATACATATTAAATATGTATCAGATGCTGGACGTAACATTGAACCATCATTTATAATAGATGTTAATTTGTTATAATTAAGCTACAAATATGGTTTCCTTAAACCAGAGATACACTGCCCTTGTCTGACATTCTCATTGTACTGGTTTATGTATATATGTGTGTGTTTTATTTGTTTTGTTTTATTTTTAAGTATTCTAAGTGTTTACGAATACTAAAATTACAACTTTCATGGTGGTGTGAGCCTTTGAAAATGTATCTGGGCTCTGCTGATTTGTCCATTATATGTTAGGCAAATGTAATTTAAGTGGAGGTGAAAGATTATGAACATGATGCAGCTATGTTTTAAACTTCAGATTGAAATGTTTCAATGTTATAGGAAAAGTGATGACTATACTTATGCTGTGCTAGTTCATGCCCGAAACTCTAAAAGTTTGCAATTCAGTGCTTTCCATGTACGTTTCTGTTTTGTGGAATTGCCCATTTTAACAAATACTGTCAATTCCCGTTATTCTTTAAAAAGATAGTTGAAAAATAATCATTAATACCATTTCTACCCCATCTACATATAACCATTTCAGTGTAAAACATACCAAGTCTGAACCCTGCTTTAGAGCTATGTATTGAGCTAAAAATACAATTTTTATAAATTGACTCTATCAGAATCTCTGGCCACATTCAGAAGCTTTAAAAAGTGACAAATTTTTTGTATCCCCAGTTGCCCAAGTTTTATCTTTTTTCTGTCTCCTCAGACTTGCAGCAAAAGGCTGGACAACAATTCATAGTCAGAACTCTCTTTTGGTAAATGTGCCTGCCTTCTCCTATCAACTCCGTTTTGTTCTCGACTTATTTTCTTGGCTATAGTTGTGAATCTCGGGCATTAAAGCCCTCACCAAAAGGCTAACGCAAGGAACAAAGGAGGTGTACTATCCTGTATATATAACAGGATATATAACCTCTGCATTGTGTGAAATGTCTATCTTTTTTAAAAGAGGAAACACCCTAGCTTTTTTATGGCCCCTCAAAATTGCTTGCTGCTTTATTCAGGCAGCTGACTTTTTTGTTTTCTCCTAATTTTATCCCAAGACTACATATGAAGAAGGTGCCCCTTCTCTGTTAATGGACCCATAGGAAAACCTAGACATTTCTCTTTTTTTTAGTAATTTTTTAAAAAGTGGCCCCCCACTAGTGTTATTGATTGGCCATAGGGCTTCTATGGGTTTTAACTTTTAGATGGAGTTTTTATTAGGTTTGGTCTTGGAGAAATTGTATGCCATTAATTTATACCCACCTTCCTGATGCACATTTTATGTGTGAGCCAGAGTACAATAGCATAGTGTTTTAATTTCGTTTTATTTCTTTTATTGAGACAGCAGTCTTAAGCTGTTTGGACAAGTTTGCATTTTAGTATTAATTTATAATTAGAGACTAGAGACCCGGTGCATGGATTAGTGCACAGGTGGGGTCCCTTGGCTGGCCTGCGGGGATTGGGCCAAAACCGGCTCTCCAATATCCCCGAAAGGGTCCCGGATTGTGAGAGGGCAGTTCTTGAGTGATGCGCCCCAGAATCGGTCTCCCTCCTCTCTGGTTCCAGGTGTGTCACCCAAGAACTGCAGCTGCCAAGTCACCGCAGCTCAGCAGCTCCTGTGTTGAGCGTCTGCCCCCTAGTGGTTGTTGCAGTCATAGCTACTGGTCAGACAGTTGAACGTTAAGATGGTCGCTTAGGCTTTTGTATATATAGACTGTCCAAATCACAGTTCTGATTATAGCTTGTAAAAACAAACTTTGGTGTAAAGGAGTGCACTTTCAAAGGAGTCATCTAATTATGTGAATATTAAGGTTTTCCCAAACTCAAGAATTCTGTCAAAAACAAGTGCATTAAAAATATAGCGAAGAGGGTTGTTAGTAATACTATTAAGTTACCCATCCGTTGGATAAGATCAATACCATACAATAGATATACTTTTGAGAAGATACTTGTAAAACATTATGTTTGGACAATTGTCTTTGACAAATGTGGCTTTAAAATCTTTAATGAAGAGAATGATGGCAGAAATAGCGAGCAAGCAAATTGGCCCATACGAGTCAATAAAAAATCAAGTGAGATAAATGAGTTCTTATATATTAGGCATCTTCTGTATTCATTTGTAGTGAAGGCTGCTGGTTTACATTTTTGAGATGCAAAAAGTACTCCCCACAAAGATCTTAAAAATACAAAGGATTTGCTATCATTCCTGTCAGCATACAAAGATCTTTATATTTAAATTAATTATTTTTTTAAATCAGAAAAACATGATTGATAATATAAAAATGCTGAAACTTTCACTGATTAGACTTTTTGGCAATTAATTGTTTGGTCAAAATTTTTCATTTTGATTTTATTTAATGGGAAGAAAACAAGCAGAAATTAAAATCTGACAGGTTTAAACAACTTATAAATGTGTTTAATTTCTAAGACAAATTAAGCCATTGAAACAAGATTTTAAAGTGATTTTTAGGGAAGTTTTAGAAGACAGTAAACAGTCATTTCAGATCCCATTGGGGAATTTAAAAAACTTTTCTTTGACTCTGAACGCTGATTTAAGAGGTGATGTGTCATTGCTTTTCATTGTAAAGGATGAAATTTAGTGAGATTATAGCCTTTGATTCAGTTAGTATTTATATGAAATAAAAAATCAATATCATGGAAAAGATTTAACCAGTGATTTGTCTCCTGAAGTGAAAACTAGTGACATTTTGCTGCATTTTAAAAATCTGCTTAAAGATATAAGTCTTCTAGTTAATCTGGTTTCAGGATTAGCTATTTTAATTGTCAGTATTAACTGGGTTATCAGGTTCACTTATTGTAAGATTTTAACCTGAGACAAAAGTTTTGGTATTTATCCATATCCAGATTTAATGGGTGAAAAGTGTATGAGGGTATTATGAGCACTCTTTATCAGAAAGTTATTTCTTGGACCAAAACTGAGCAATTTTTTAATTGTTGATCCTCTGTTCTGGCAGCTATGAAATTTACCAGAAAATGAAGTCATTCAGTACATCTGATCCGGGTTTATGTTATACCTCAAGGCAATATAGATGAGTTATTTATTATTCCTTAGCATGTCAGGTCTTCCCTCCCTTCCCAGAGCTGATATCCTAAGTTATTACCAAATAGTGTTTTTATGTTAATTCACCATCCTAACTGAAAAAAAATTAAGACTGATTTCACCATTATTATTTATTCTCAGATGATATGAAATGCTTAATTTTCTGACAATATCAGTTTTCTAAATTTTGTTTTAATGAATAAAACTGCTTTTACCTTCACTCAGTCTTTATAATGTAGTGCCCATAGCATCAGCTTCCTTTAAACCAACAGCCCAAAAGAGACCCTCTGAAACTCTATGATTAGGTTGTAGAAAATCTGGACTTCTTATCTATATTCCCTCCACGAAACCCAAGGTCCTATTTTTGAATGACACTGTGGAACTCTAGCTTGTGCTTAATTTAGTTAAAGGTAGTGGGGCTCACTGTAGACACTACTTTGTCCTGAAAAATAATTCCTGATGAGAACTTACTGACTTTTACAGTCATCCTGGTTGATCATCTGTGAGTATATAGATTAACTACATTTGTGGTTTGTAATAAAAACAAGTTGTACAACACTGCCTGTGTCGGTCTGTCTGCCCAAAACATTTATTTCACTTTTAAAATGCACATATATCTTTGGAGAGGTGGATTATTCTTCACAAACACTCAAAGTTCTGTTGTTTAGGATCCTTATAGCTCTATCACCATCTACACTAAAAATGTTGTACTTGCACAACTTAGTTATTAAAAAAGAATATGTATTTCTTCAATAGCGGGTATTTGAATGTACTCTTGATATATTTGAATGTGACTCTTGGAATTAACTGCACTATTATTCATGTCTCATACAATAAAATTGCACTGTATGGCAAATGTGTCTATAACGTATGCTTTGCTAAACCTCAGAGTGCTGTAATGTACAGGTTTCTGTATTATGAACCTGTCTATATAGTCTTTGGGAAAAATACTGAACTTTCATAAGTCTGTGTAACACTTTATATTGTTTAGAATATTCCCTAAGTGATAAGTTCACTATGTCCTACAACTGGAATCATTCATTTTGAGTTGGCTGCTTTGTCAAGCTTGTTTACTGAACCCAGAAACAGTCTTGTCAAACGTGGTACTGTTATCCTAGTGTGTAAGATCTGTGTGTGGTGTTCTGCCTCAGAGGAGTGTTGCACAGATGCTACTGTTTAAATTTCTATAGACAACGGGAATAAAATTTGAATATATTCAAAAACTGGTCAATTAAATCTGTAGGCTGACTTTAATTTTTTTCAAATATTTGTGAAGGTTGTGGCAGTTTTCAATTAAAATTGCTATTTAACAGAGGCAGTGCTGCCTCAAACAGACTGTCAAACTGCAGCAGGAAGGCCGGGGAGGGTAGGGGGGCAGAAGGGGGGGCGGTAAGAGATCAACCGAAGGACTGATATGCATGCATATAAGCATAACCAATGGACATAAGACACTGGGGGGTAGGGGAGGCCAGGGGATTGTCAAGGGCGGGGGTAAAAAGGAGACATATGTAATACCCTTTGTAATACTTTAAGCAATAAAAAATAAATAAACAAATTGCTATTTAAAAAATTCAGATCCATCAAAAAAGTTGCAAAGTAGTACAGTGGTCTCCCATATGCTGTTCACCTAAATTGAATAACTTACATTTTTTCACCTTTGAGTTAACGTGTGTATGTGTATATGTGTGTGTATGTTATTTTGCTGAAACATTTGAGGGCAAGCTGCAGACTTGATGATCTTTCCACCTAAGAACTTCACAGGTATTAGGAGTATGTATTTACATACTGTTTACTCGGTATGTATTTTTATGAATAAATAATTGAGAGTAAAGGAAAGCTACTCAAAGTAGGTTGAAAACTATGAAATGTAGAATGATGAAATTAGAAAGTCACTATTTGGCAATCATCACAGTAATAATTGACCTAGGCAGTCACCATCAGTGGATGTTAAAACTAGTAGGATAAAGCTTGTGAGGAAAACAATCTAGTCTCAAAGTATTTTTCCATAAAATACTTATTAATTACAAAGGGGAAAGAATAACTTTATGTGAAGGAACCTTGTAGATACCACCTTGTCCAAGCACAATTAGCACCACTAGTAATGGGACAAATCAATATCATGTGCCTTCTGATATGATTCACTGAGAACACAGCATCACATTTTTGCGAAGACAAAGGAATAAAAAGCCCAATCTGAATCTAATTATGAAGACAGATCAGGCAAACTTAAATTGAGGGACATTCTATAAAATACCTTGTCTGTATTCTTTAAAGAACTTATGAAACTTATAGGAGGAAAACCTTTTTATAAATTTGAAATTATTTCAAACATTTTTTAAAAGCACAAAGTGAACAGAAAACAGGTGGCATCATACAAAACTATAATATTAAAAGAAAATATTTCAGCTGATAAAAATTATCCCCCAATAAATGAAACATAAAAAAAAAAACAAAAAAACCCACCGCCCTAGCTGGTTTGGCTCAATGGAAAGAGCATCCTGCAGATTGAAGGGTCTCAGGTTCAATTACAGTCAAGGGCACATGCCCAGGTTGTGGGCTCGATCCCCAGTAAGGGGGCATGCAAGGGACAGCTGATCAATGATTCTCTCTCATCATTGATTCTATATCTTCTCCCTCTCTCTGAAATCAATAAGAATATTAAAGAAAAAAAAACTAACACATTCCAAAAGGAATATTTGCCTTTCAACAAAACTTCCAGTCCTAGCTGGCCTGCAGACCAAAGGGTCTCGGGTTCGAATCCAATCAAGGGCATGTACCTCAGTTGCAGGCTCCTCCCCGGCCCAGGACC